ATTTCAGGATTTTAATGATTAATTCATGAACGTATCTGCAAGAATGCCAAGGTCTCCAATGTAATGAAAGCCTTTTTTTTTTTTCTCTAAAGTTGTTTGTTTTCATTTCAAATCAAAGCAATCTGTCTTGAGCATTCATTTCTCTCCTGCTTCTCTCCCTTCACCCTGAAAGGGGGAAAAAAACCCAGAGCTCATTTCACTGTGGTCCTGATAACATTTTGACAAGTAATAGAATTCATTTACATTTATCAAAATAAACAGATACATCTTCCATCTTCTCTCTGTTTAGCTGACACAGATGGGTCTCTCACCTCCAACAGGCACCAGCAAGCTTGGGGTCATGTGTGGTGATTCAATCTGTGTGTTCCCAGGTATGCTGAAATTTGTGTTGGAGTATAAAGAGGTGCTCAGACTGAAGGATCCTGAGTGAGCTCCCAGTAGGACCTTCCCTAGGACCCAGGAAGCCAGATATTGTAGCTCTCAGTTTGGCCTGGGGATTCCATGGTTAAGCATATTTGTTCTGGAATTGAATTGATTGGGTTGTAATCCTAGCTTCATCGCTTTCCCACAAAGTATGTCATAGAGCTGCTGTGAAGATTAAATGAGATAATATATGCAAAACGCTTGACACTGCACCTGGCACATAATACGTGCTCCAAAATGTTAAGATGATGACGACGACGATCGTGGCCATGATGATGATGGTGCTTGAATAACATGAGATTCTATTATTGAGCCTCTATGTTCTGTGCAAGAGGAGGTGGTGACTCTATTGCCGTAAAATCCAGATAAACTCTGATGCCTTGGAGCACTGAAGTTAATTTTTAAAACAAATTCCTGCCATTAAGATTGTTTCTGAGAGGCTACCTCATTTTTAAGGAGTTATATTTTTCTAAGCCTAATTATCGTAATGCTGCTGTTTTATGGACTTAGAGACAAGCAAAATAGTCTGGAAGTGTGCTATAAGAGTGGGCAATCAGAATGAAGTGCCTGATTTTACACAAGGAACCAGTTCTGCTCAGTCACTGCATCTTGGGCCAAAGCAGAATGGCCTATTTGTACCTGGGTCTCTGCACAAGGACCTGGATAGGTGGGGGTGGGGGGGGTCACAGTAAGGAGTGGAATTCAGGATCCCTAGCATTACAAACAATGTTCTTTTTGTGGCCCTATTAGTTTTTTTTAAGTTAATAAAGTTTATTTTTTAGAGCAGTTTTAAGTTCACAGAAAAATTGAGTGTGAAGTACTGAGAGTTTCCATATATTCCCTGTCCCTACACAACCTCTCCCACTATCTGCATTCTGTACCAGCATGGTACGTTTATTACACTTGATGAACCTACACTGACACATGATTATCACCCAAAGTCCATAGTTTACTTTGGGGTTCACTCTTGGAGTTGTACATTCTATGAGTTTAGACAAATATATAATGGCTTGTATCCACCATTATATTATTATGCAGAATAGTTTCCCTGCCATAAAAACTTCTGTGCTCTGCCTATTCATCGCTCCTTTCCTCCTTCCTAACCCTTGGCAACCACTAATCTTTTTATTGTCTTCATAGTTTTGCCCTTTCCAGAATGGCACGTAGTTGGAATCAGAGAGTATGCAGCCTTTTCAGATTGACTTCTTTCACTCAGTAATATACATTTAAGGTTCCTCCATGTCTTTTCATGGCTTGATTGCTCTTTTTTTTTTTTTTTAAAGCAATTAACAATATTCCATTGCCTGGATGTACCACAGTTTATTTAACCATTCATCTACTGAAGGACTTCTAGGTTGCTTCCAAGTTTTGGTAATTATGAATAAAGCTGCTATAAACTTCCATGTACAGGTTTCTGTGTGGACATAAATTTTCATTTTATTTGGGGAAATACCAAGGAGCATGATTGCTGGTTCTATGGTAAGAGTATGTTTAGTTTTGTAAGGAACTGTCAAATTGTCTGCTAAAGTGGCTGTACTATTTTTGCATTTTACCAGCAATGAATGAGAGTGCCTATTGCTCCACATCCTTGCCAGCATCTAGTGTTGTCAGTGTTTTCAATTTTGGCCATTCTAATATGTGTGTAGTAGCATTTCATTACGAAAAAAATTTTCAGTTCCCTAATGACATGTGATGTTGAACATCTTTTCATATGCTTACTTTCCATCTGTATATTTTCTTTGGTAAGATGTCTGCTAAAGTCTTTGGCCCAGTTTTTAATTGGGTTGTTTATTTTCTTTTTGTTGAGGTTTAAGGGTTCTTTGTGCATATAGGATAAGTCTTTTATCAGATGTTTCTTTTGAAAATATTTTCTCCCAGACTGGCTTGTCTTCTCTTGTCTTTCACAGAGCAGAAGTTTTTTATTTTAATGGTCTGACTTATCGTTTCTTTCATGGACCTTGTCTTTGGTGTTGTATCTAAAATGTCATTGCCATACTAAGATCATCTAGGTTTTCTCTTATGTTACCTTCTAGGAGTTTTGTATTTTACATTTAGGTCTATGGTCCCTTTGAGATAATTTTTGTGAAGGGTATAAAGTCTGTGTCTACATCCATTTTTATGTATGTGGATATCCAATTGTTCCAGCACCATTTGTTGAAAAGACTACCTTTGCTCCATTGCATTACCTTTGCTCCATTGTCAAAGATTAGTTGACTATGTTTATGTGGGTTATTTCTGGGATTTCAATTCTGCTCCATTGATCTATTTGTCTAATTTTTCACACTGTCTTAATTGCAGTAGCTTATAGTAAGTCTTAAAGTTGGGTAGTGTCAATCATTTGACTTTGTTCTTCTCTTTAATACTGAGTTGCCTCGTCATATAAAATTTAGCATCAGTTTGTTGGTGCCCATGAAATAACTTGCTGATGTTTTGATTGGTATTGAATTGAACATATAGATCAATTTGGGAATAACTGACATCTTGACAATATTTAGTCTTCTTATGGACCTGGAATATCTCTCCATTTATTTAGTTCCTCTTTAATTCCATTCATCAGAATTTTGTAGTTTTCCTCATTTAGACATTGCACATATTTTTTAAGATTTATCCCTAAGTATTTTATTTTTGGGGACTCTAATGAAAATGGCAATTTCTTATTAATTTCAAATTCTACTTGCTCATTGCTGGTATGTAGGGACACTATTAACTTTTGTATGTTAACCTTGTTATAATCACTTATTAGTTCAAGGAAGTTTGTTTTGGTTATTGAAACTTTTGAATTTTCTACCTAGATGATTGTGTTCTGTGAACAAAGACAATTATTTCTTCCTTCCCATTCTGTGTACCTTTTCTTGTCTTATTGCAATATCAGGACTTCCAGTATATTATGGAAAAGCAGTCATGATAGAATACATTGTTGCTTTGTTCCTTTTGTTAGTGGGAGAACTTCAAGTTTCTCATCATTAAGTATGATGTTAGTGGTACGTTTTTTGTAGATGTTCTTTGACAAGTTAAGAAAGTTTCCCCCTTTACTCCTAGTTTTCTGAGAGTTTTTACCATGAATTGATGTTGAATTTTTGTCAAATGCTTCTTCTGTATCTATTGATATGATCATGTGATTTTTCCTTTTTAGCTATTGATGTAATAGATTACATTAATTAATTTTCTAATGATGAATAATTCTTGCATATGTGGGATAAATCCCACTTGGTCTAGGTGTTTAATTCTTTTTATTTGTTGGATTCAATTTGCTAATATTTTATTGAGGATTTTTGTGTCTATGTTCATTAGAGAGTCTGGTCTGTAGTTTTCTTATGTCTTTGTCTGGTTTTGATATTAGGGTAATGCTGGCCTTATAGAATAAGTTAGGAAGTATTCCTCCTGCTTCTATTTTCTGGAAGAGATTGTAGAAAATTGGTATAATCCCTTTCTAAATGTTTGGTAGAATTCACCAGTGAATCAATCTGGACCTGGATTATTGATTAATTGTAATTAATTTTCTGTTTATTTTATTTATTTATTTATTTATTTTTTGCAGTACGCGGGCCTCTCACTGCTGTGGCCTCTCCCGTTGAGGAGCGCAGGCTCCAGACACGCAGTCTCAGCAGCTGTGGCTCACGGGCCTAGCCGCTCCGGGGCATGTGGGATCTTCCCGGATCGGGGCATGAACCCATGTCCTCTGCATCGGCAGGCGGACTCGCAACCACTGCGCCACCAGGGAAGCCCCGCTGTTTATTAATTAAAGATTATTTGTTATTGATTTAATTTCTTTAATAAATATAGACCTAATCAGATTTTCTGCGTATTCTTGTGTGAGTATTGGCAGATTGTGTCTTTCATGGAATTGGTCCAAATTTTATGTTATCAAATTTATGGACAGGAAGTTGTTCTTAATATTCCTTTATTATCTTTTTAATGTCCATAGGATCTATAGTGATGTCCTCTCATTCATTTATGATATTAGTAAGTTGTATCTTCTCTCTTTTTTAATTAATCTAGCTAGAGGCATATTGATTTTACTGATCTTTTCAAATAACCAGCTTTGGTTTTGTTGATTTTCTGTATTGATTTCGTGTTTTTAATTTCATTGATTCCTGCTCTAATTTTCATTATTTTTTTCTGCTTACTTTAGATTTAATTTGCACTTCTTTTTCTAGTGTCTTAGGGTGTAAGCTTAAAATAGTGGTTTTTGATCCTTCTTCTTTTCTAATATGTGCATTCATTGCTATGAATTTCCCTCCAAGAACCATCTTCTCTGCATCCTACAAATTTTGATAAGCTGTATTTTCACTTTCATTTAGTTAAAATATTTAAAAATTTATGTTGAGATTTCTTCTTTGATCTACATGCTATTTAGAAGTGTTTTTCTGATGTCAGCATAGCTAATCCAGATCTCTTTAGGTTACTATCAATATTTGTTTGGAATATTTTTTCCATCCCTTTGCTTTCAACTTCTGAGTCTACAGAGTAACTTACTGTAGTTGGATTGTGTTTTTTTTTTTTTTTTATCCATTCTGCCAGTCCCTGCTCTTTGAATGGAGACATTAATCCATTTATTTTTTCTTTTTGACTTGCAGGATCTTACTTGGACAGAAAGTCAACAATGAAACAAGATAAACAACAGACACAACACTCCACCTAAGCTCTCATGTGCACATTCTCCAGGACAGACCACATGTTAGGCCATAAAACAAGTCTTAATGCGTTGAAAAGACTGGCGTCTTCTGCAACCACAATGGAATGAAGCTATGAGTCACAAATGGAAGGAAACCTGGAAAATTCACAAATAATGTGAAAATTAATCAACCACTGGGTCTAAAAAGAAATCACAAGGGAAATTAGAAAATAGTTAGAGGTATGAACCAAAAGCAGCAGCGCTCAGAGGGAAGTTTATAGCTGTAAATACCTGCACTAAAAAAGCAGCTCTGTCTTATCACCAGAAAAAAAAATGTAACTATAAAAAAAAAGAAGTGTTTTGTTTAATGTTTTAAATCACTTATTTATTTGAAAAGTTGACGTGGAGCAAAGTTCAAGTGGTACAAAAAAGGAGGATATAGTGAAAAGTCAGTTTCTATCCCATTTTGATCTATAAGTTCCCCTGTCCTCTCTGGGAAGTGGCCTCTGTTATCTGGCTTTTATGTATCCTGCCAGAGATGTTAGGATAAAAACCCAAAAGTGGTCTCACTGAAACCAGGGATGAATTTTAAGGAGTGGGGGTGGGGGGAGGAAGTCAGAAGGATTAATTGATTGATATGCAGGTACCAAAAAGAATGAGGGTACTAAACAGAAAGTCTGATTCCAAACTAGATGGACTGAACCATAGTTGTATATCACTGAAAGCAAGAGTTTAAGAAGGGAGAAAAGTAGAAAAACTGGAAATTAGATGTTGATACTGGGGAAAGAACTAATATCTTTGTTATGGGTTAACCACATTTATTACTAAAAGTGAAAAAAATTTATTGTGCATATTTGGAAGTACCTGACTTGGCTCATGGTATTGCCAAATGTACTTCATCATGAGCCATGTCATTGTGGTTTTTACTCTGGAGGAGTAAAAAAATATGGAGAGGTTCTTCACAACCTCTGGTTCTCTGTCTGTTACAGAAATCTAACTCTAGAGATTGACATCAAAGGAAAGCTACAATCAGTCATAGATCCATGGACTTTCAGAGTTGGAAAGTATCATTTTACAAAAGGTCAAACTGAGGCCCAGAGAAGGTGAAGTATTTACTAATGCATGGGCTGCATTAAAGAAACTCCATTTTTAACTCTTAATACTGTGTCATGTAACCATCGGTTCTCTCTCTCTTCCACACAGTCTCAACTCCTTGAGAGCTGGGATTGATCTTGCTCATATAGGACAGTGTGAGGTCCAGTACAAGATTCAATAAATGTTGAGTGAATTAATACACAAACGCTGAGGAATAGGTGACGAGTCTGACAGCTCATGGAATCCAAATTCAGAGGATTCCATGGAAGGACTTTTCACAGAGAAAAAAGTGACACCATTTCCTGAATTCAGACCTTGTACACAACCAAGTAAAGACTATCTGGGAAGCCACAGCATGCATGGAGTAGATGAAGGACAGTGAATCTGGATGATGAAGCAGTTAGAAAGTTTCTTGGGCTTAAGAAACAGAGAACCCAACTCTCTTCGGTTTAAACAATAAGGATGTTTATTGACTCACAAAATGGAAGTTGAGGTGCAAAGTGAGCTTCACAGTTGACCAGATTCTGCAGTTCTCCTGCATTTCCCCACAGTTCTCCTGGCTCTGTCTCCTCTGTGGAGTGGCTTCATATTCAGGTGGGTATGGAGAGGCTGCTGCAGCTACCTCTCACATCTACACACAATGAAACCAAAGGACAAGAGAGGAGAGGGAGCTTCTGGAAGCCCCTCCAGAAGATGGAGGAAGGACTCTTTCAGCTTTTGTCTTTGCTTTCTCTCAGTCTGTTCTCCAAAGCAATCCTGTTAAAACAAGGATTTAAGTCAAATCATGACTTCTGCTCAAAACCCTCTGGTGTTTCCCATCTCACTCTGTATAAAAGCCAGAGTCCTTCTCAGACCTGTAGAGCCCAACAGGTTATGGCCAAGCATCACATCTTTGTTTTCCTCTCCTACTCTTGTCCCCTTTGTCAACTCTGCTCTAGCCGCACGGGCTTCCTTGCTGTTCCCCAAACACACTAAGCCCATTCCCACTTCAGGACATTTTGCCTGGAGTGTTCTTTGCAAACTTCACTAGTATAAATCCCTCACCTCCGTCAAGTGGCCTTCCCAAAGGACCTCATTTAAAAATGCCGCCCCTGGACTCTCTCTCTCTCGTCTTCCCTGCTTTAGATCCCCTTGCTTCACTCATCACTGCCAAGTATTATGTGTCTATATGTTACGGTTTATTTTATGTGTGTCCCTCCCAAAGGCAGTGTTTATTTTTTTTTAATTTCATGAGTTTTGTATGCCCAGCACACATACAGCAGTGTCTGGAACATAGGAGGCACATAATAAATATCTGTTGAATAGATAAAGTTCTCTCCCAAGCTCCTCTTTTCCTTTCATTGGCTCAAATTTGGGCACATGACCATTCATCATCCAATCATTGCAGGGGGGTTGGGATTACTTTGAAAACAATCAGGCTCATCTCTGCAGCTGGTGGTGGGATTCGTTTCACAAGAAGCACTTGGCTGCATGCACACCGAACAAAATGAATTCTGTTAGGAAGGAGAAGAGAGGAAGGGATAGTGGTTGGACATCCAACAATGTCAGTACAGATGGCGCTAGACCTTTCTGAAGGCCTCAGTGTATACTCCTGTGCACTCCCTGCCTCCTTTCAGAGGGCTTCCCACTGACCCAACTTTGTAACCCAAGGATTACAAAGACCTTCCCTCTTGAATGTTGAGAAGGGATGGGGGTGGGGGAACTGGGGAGAGAAGAAAATTACTTCAGAGAAGCAATGGAAAACACTGTTGACAAGCAACAGTACAATCTGCAAAATGAGAAAATCACATACAAATCCCAGATTGCAAAATCAGAGGTGCTAATGACAATGCCAAACAGGACTTTTCTTGTATGACAATCCAATTTTTCCATTATGGCAGAAAGACCCACTGAAAAATAGAGCTCCTCAGCATGGGCTTCTATGTGCTAAAGTTTGTGAGTGAGGAAGGTGTAAGATGCTCATTTCTGCCTGGAAGTAGCACAAGGTGCTCAGCAAGGATCTCTGGTATGCAGGGCGCTGAGTCTGCATCACGTGTCCATGAGCTGGGGCCCATAGCAAGAGCTCAAGCACCACCAGCAGCTAAGAAGACTTTATTCTTGCTCAGTAGTGGCCACAGAGAGAGGATCTAAGAAAAGCTAAGCTTGGATGGGGTGTGGCCTCATTTGGCACCTGAGAGGGTACAGGTATTTTCGTTCTTAGGTTTGGTAGTAGGTTATTCAACACCTGCTGTGTGGTAGACATGATTCTAGGCACTAAGGATACACAATGGCCTCTCTACAAAGGCAGCCAGGGTGCTTCTTTAAAAATGAAAATGCAAATCCCATCACACTTAGAATAACCCCCAAATTCTGTACGTGGCTCACGCCTACCTTGCCAACCTGGATGATTGCTGTTAGTCACCCTGGCTGCCTTCTTTTTTGTTCTCTCATACTCCAAGCTTCTCCCTGCCACAGGTCTTTTGCACATGCTTGTACTCTCTCCTGGAGCACTCTTCTCTACGATCTACTCATGGCCGATGTCTCACGATTCAGATCTGGCTCAATATTGTGCTTTTGGAGACGCCTTCCTTGACTATCTCATGACACACCACACACCAGCGGTGGCATTAAACTTTTCTAACCACAGCGTTGTCACAATCACTGGTTAATCCAAACAGATGTTAGCCATGCACCACTACCGGCTGAACACCACCTGATCGTGTGCCATGCACGTCCTCAGTCAATGTATGTATTTCCTTGACATCATCACGGTTTTCTTTTCTACTTTTCTACTTCTTAATTGCATGTCTTAGCATATTACAGCAGGAGTTTTTCTGTTTTGTTCCTTGTGCGTTATGGCATCAACAGTGCCTAGTTCAGGTCTGGCATAAAGAAAGTGCTCCAGTAATGTCCAGAACTTGTGAAATGAAGGGTCAAAACACCAGCCCTCAGGCAGCTTACCTTCTGGGAGATGGGCTTAGTGATGGCAGCATTTTAGAGGTGTGTGCTTGGACCACTGAACTGACTTAGAATTCCAAATTCTGGAATCAGAAGTTCTTTGGAATCGCAAGTAACTAAATTGGAGGAAAGAATGATCATGTTACTGTGGGTGCATGATGGGGCAGAGCTGCACAGGTTCTGGGGAGACACTTCGGGGGCAATGGCTGGAGGATACAGCTGTTGAGTTGATCCATTGGTCTGACCCTGACCTGCGACGACACTCACTCTCTCTGCAGTGCTGGCCCTTTTGTAGAGCCTGGCTCAAAATGGCATGAATTTGGCTCTCGATAGGTCAAATGCTTTGTTTAATTATCTTACCTAGAATGTCTCATTTAATTCTCCATGATACCTTTGTGAGATAGGTAGGTGAAATCAGGTTCATCTTGCAAACTAAGAAATGGAAACTCAGTGAGATTGAATGACTTGACCAAGGTCACGGAAGCAAGGCTTAAGCCTGGTCTCTCCTCTGTGCTGCATGTGAACTTCTACTATAGGAACCATGTATCTCCTGCCTGGTTTCCCCCAATCCCCCTACCTCACCCCAGACCCTTCTGTGGAAAAGACTCATGAGATTTCCTGTCTTCACAGACTCAGTAAAGAAAGTGGACAGAGCCAAGGAACCCCATGCTCGTGGTGGACATCAAAACAGTGACTCTGCCAGGCTTCCTCCAAGTGACCTTGAGCAGATCTCATCCCCTTGTCAGCCTCAGCCTCCCCATCTGTAAAATGAAGGGCTTGGATAATGGCCTTAAGAATCTTTCCAGGTTTGATGTAGGATTCTGTGATGTCAAAAATAAGAGATATTGTATTACTGCGGACTGAAAAATAATTATCTTTTATGCTCTACATGTAACTTTCTGCTTCTCAGGCTACCTGCTACATGCTGTCAACGTCACCTCATTTATCAGACACTGTTGTAATAAAGATGCAATTTGTGGCTGCAATTTCCACTTTATGGTAACATTTAATTTACACGAGGTATTTTTAAAGCATGTCACTTGTAATGTGCGCACCTGCCAAGAACCTGCTCTTTCGTAATGACTTTCCAGCGAGGTCAGATAAAGTGCCCAAATTTCAGTAAACAAACACCGGGCAAGTTTTCAGCACTAAAGCCTCCCTCCCATGCTGGGGAGGGATGTTGTGGCCCTGTGGGGGATGATGACAGCTCTCCCATATTCAGACACAAAGTCCTTCTGACTAGGTGGATGAAGATTATGGGAACTTTTCCTACTGATGCTCTCAAACTCTGATTGTTGGAGGGAAGGAGCTGTTCAGAAGCCTGTGT